TTCTAGGAGAGGTTACCTTGAGCGCAGGCAAGCTGAAGCCATCGGTTAGATTGTGCGCCTCCTCTTCAGAGACCTGCTCTTCGCTCAGTCCCAGACCCAGCTCCTTAAAGGGGACTACACAGATGTAGCTGGTCACGTTGTCACTCTCCGAGTTCAGAGGGTAGGTTTAGCTGGAGTTAAGGTGGTTAACAAAGCAACTTTTGCATTAAACACACAGAAAAGGAAAAAACACCTAATAAGGTTTCTTCTTTCTGGCAATTTGTATGAAGCACATACATTCCACCCAAATCCACCTGAATCCTGTTTAATCGAACGTTTTGCAAGTCTTATTCAGAGCACAAGTTTTAAAGGCTCTTAGAAGGATGAGAGATAATACATTGACAAAACACCTACGTTTAAACACAAACACATAAAAAGAAACAAAACAGACCGATGAAAAACCCCTGCATCCCTTTCAAGTGAGGAAACTATCTTATCTTTAAATATTAAGTTTCCAAGAAGTAGCTCGTGTCAATCTTAAACCAGAAATCACATATTTAACAGAGGAAAGAGGAGAACAATTGTGCAATTTTAAGTTTCAAAGGTAGCCTACGTTATAGACCAAACTCAGGATGATGGGAATTCCCTGCGAGTTCTGCCTGTGGAGAGACCGCTCAGAGATCTCTACAATAATTGCTCTTTGACATTTCAGATAGTACCGTGAAGAACAGGAGCTCCCCAATTGTCATACCATTAATTTTATTGATTACATCGCTGTAAAGCCACCATGATCTTGGCAGGAACAGCGGTGAACTGTTATCTATCAACACTATTCGGCACATTTAAATTCTGAGTAGGAAAATGTACATTTCCAGTCCTCAGAAATGCTTAAAAAGTAGGAAGCAAGCACAATATAACTGATACCAGAAGACAGATAAAAATAATTCATAGACTAGGCAGCATTTACTTTAAAATAGCATTAATTTTAGGCTAACCTCATGCTGGGGAAGGGGGAGGAGGAACAGATCAAAATTTCTGCACATTTTGGATAGTAACCCAGTCACAAAATAGTAAAATTTGCTTTAAAACAGAAACGTACAACTTATGGTCATAAGCACATTTGTTCCACAAAAATATATATAAAAGAAGATATTTGTAAAGCATTCATGAAAATAAGGCCTTAATTTAAACTATGGTTTCTTTCATTTATATTTCGATTTACAAACTGAATGCTCTCATCTCTTGGGGCACATAAAGCTGATTAGGAGCACTTGTCTCTTGTCCAACTAATATGTTTTCTGGGGAAGTTACAAGTTCCACCCACTTTCACTCTCAAATTTTCCACGTGCTAAATTCTCACGGGATTGAACTTGTAAAAGTGATTTGCTCAAGAAAATTTTTACCACTTGAGAAGAACATTGCATAAAAAAAAATATATTCTGCATCCCAGGAAACAGCAATGCTAAATGTCCAGGCTCTAAACAAACAAACACATTTCTCCCTAATTTCTCCCCAAAGTCCAGGAAGAAAGAAGTCTATTAAGAGTTCAGACAAAAAATCTGCAATGGAATTTAATTAGGAACAGAATATTATTGTTGCCACCAACAGCTGCCTCACATAAACAGTGTCTATTCTAAGTTAACCTGACAGCGTGCCCAGCAGATGGAGCACACGGGATGAGGATGGTGACTCCATCAGAGATTGAAAAGTCAGGTCAAAACCCTTCAGGACCAGTTATCTCAGAGACTAATTATACTCCTTGTTAATCTTTTCCCGCAACAAGACATTTCCAACAGCATGGACACCATAAAAAGCAGTCTGGACACACATGAATTTCTAAGCCATGCTAAAAAAAAATTCCAGGCAACATCTCAAATGAGTGGTTTGACCAAAGGAGCCACTTATCGATGCTATGTCTCAGCTAAGGATTCCCCGTGGACTCCCGCACCTCCGGCCTCGCCCGGCTCTATTGCAGCCCTCCCACTCCCATTTCTATGTGACAGACGAAAGCAGAGAACTGATCCCATGCCCCCATTAGCTTCCTAAGGACTAAACCTTTAGAAAGTTTAAAGACATACACACAAACATATACGTATACACAAACACACTTCCTTCATGCACTTTGCTCTAAAAGGCAAGTATTTTTAGTGCTAATGTTTTCTACGAAAGCCAAAATACAGTAACTAACCTTAGGTTAGTTAAATTTTTCTGTGTCTTTGTGAAAATATTTCATTCCTCTGTTTAACTTACATTCCTTATTAGCTTGGAAGAAGAGAAGGCAAAGCTACTTAATAATAAACTGTCAAATCCAGAATAAAATATCTGTACAGCACATGTCTAACCTCTGTCAGGAGGCCAATTTATTTACCTATAGAAAAGCAAGAACACTAATGTACCCCTGTACGTAACAGTTTTAATATTCATACTTTGCTCTTCAAAAGCATATTCCCAGCTAAAGATCTAACAGGAGGGCCTCACAATATCCCTGTGAAATCCAAGCTGCTCTTTTATAGAATTCTCACCTGCTCACCAGGTGGGAAGGGATGAGCTAAGCATGTGATGAACTGGCTGGTCAAGGAAGAAACATCGCACTGAAAAATGCCCAAGTATCTTTACTCAGACCTTCCAGCATCAGATTTCTGATTTAGGCTTTTATGAACCAAAGAGGGTACTACTTTTTGTTCAGCTTACTGTTTTCTTGTGTGAGCTTTCTCTTTCCCAAGTTAAAAGGTATGTGTTTTTCTAACATTGCATGATGCAGTAACTAAATTTTTACAGAGGAGAAGGAACAATTTTTTACTAGATTTACTAGAGGAAATTTGCAAGTTTCCCTGTGTGCTCAGTGCATCTCAAAGATATAAAATGCATTTTATATCCATTCCACCTTAATGGGGTAAGATATCATTCAGTTCAAAGTACTGCCCATCCAATGTCTGCTTTTATAACACTGTTTATGCCTTGCCATCAGAGAACGACACCTTACACTTACAATAAAATTAGTTTTTTCAGTTTCTACGGTCCAATGCCCAGGTCCTACCTATCAATATAGTTCAATGGAAACGGAGTATCACACCATCTTGCACCAGCTGAAGATGAGACTATTAACGTCATCCAGTAACATAAGCTACAAAATTTCCTCCATCCAGCTTGCATATAATTAAATCAGTGAATAAACCATGGAGTCCCATGACGCAGAACCCACAAGGCTCTTAAGTATAAAAATATTAAGCAACTAGCACGCTGACTGAAGTATTGCCTGAGTTATTACACAATTCAATGGAGCATAGTGCAGATTTGCTGAGCTAGCAGTGACTGGTTGTCCTGGTTTCAGCTGGGACAGAGTCAAGTTTCTTCCTAGTAGCTGGTACAGGGCTGTGTTTTGGATTTAGGATGAGAACAATGTTGATAACACACCGATGTTTTAGTTGTTGCTAAGCAGTGTTTATACTAAGTCAAGGACTTTTCAGCTTCTCGTGCTCTACCGACTGAGAAGGCTGGAGGTGCACAAGAAGCTGGGAGGGGGCACAGCCAGGACAGCTGACCCAAACTGGCCAAAGGGACATTCCATACCATGTGACGTCATGCTCAGTACATAAACTGGGGAAAGCTGGCCAGGGGGCGGCGACCGCTGCTCAGGGACTGACTGAGCGTTGGTCGGTGAGCGGTTGCATAACCTACTTTCTATCACAATTTATTATTGTTGTTATTGTTGTTGTTATTATTATCATCTTATTATTTCAAGTATTAAACTGTTCTTACCTCAGCCCATGAGTTTTCTTACTTTTGCTTTTCCGATTCTCTCCCCTCATCCCACGGGGGGAGGGTGAGCGAGCGGCTATCTGGTGCTTGGTTGCCGACTGGGGTTAAACCACGACACTGGTCTGCACAACATCCTGTAAATACTTAACCCAAAATGCGTAATTTCTAGTTTAAGCTTTCAGCCATTTCATCCTGCTATACCCTTATCTTCCAGATTAAAAGAGAAATACTGTTTTCTCCCTTCTGACTTTTTCTTCTATGATTTTGAGCAACGTACTCTTGCCGATATGAACAAATCAGAATAAGAACGGCATGAGAAAATGCTGAATTGTTTCTGCAAGTACCCAACTGTCCCTTCATGTAAAATGTAAGGAATATGACTTTCCAACCCATTAAATCACTGGTCCACCAAGTTCGATACAAACGCCTGGTATAAGGCTAAAGTATAATTGTATTTTTTTTCTGTTTTACATGGGAACAAATTTTAATTAGGACAGTATTAATTTATTCTACTCACTGAAGGCAGCTCTCTAGCTAAAAGCCACAAGCAAGTACTGCTAAACTTCTAGTTTTATTGAAGTGAGTAATGATAATGTGTCAAGTTTATGCAGTTTGTATCACCATGAATAAAACTGTGAATTAAGATTTTTAATTCTCCGTAACACGTTCCTCTGACAGATCTCCCTCTAACACATTTGAGACATACATTAACATAAAAACCCGATTTGCTGCAGATATTTTGGTAGGAGAAATAATACTGACGGCTATAAAATCTGTATTTAATTCAGATGTTTATACTTATTTATTTTTACTTAGTTGTTGTGGTTTAACCTCAGTCAGCAACTGAGCACCACACAGCCGCTCGCTCACTCCTCCCTGAGCCCCCCCCGGTGGGATAGGGGACAGAATTGGAAGAGCACAGGTGAGAAAAACTCGTGGGTTGAGATAATAAAATCAGTTTAATAATTGAAATAAAATAATACTAATA